GATTAGAAAATAAAATAAAAATTCCCTTCATATTTGGACACTTATGAATTAATATAATTTCACTGATTATCTGAGCAATTGTTACAATTTTGCCTCCTTCAGTACCTAAATCAGCATATTCCACTTCACAAAACTGTCGTCTGCCACCAAAACAAAGGTCAAATTCTAGTGCTCCAGGGACCTGATTACCTTCTACAACAACAGAGCAAAAATAACAAATTAATTGGTTTCTTTTGCATTCAGCCACCTTTTTAAATAAATCTTATAAGAATATGTAGATTTTCACTTACTTTCCACTGCTGCATATGCATCACATGTATAGGCAAAGGTCACAAAGCCATAGTTATCCCTGAGGAAAAAAAGAATATTTTAAATGTAAATGTTTTCTTTCAAAAAAAAAAAAGCTTCACATTCACTCACATGTAATCACTAATTTTTGTGGGGGAGTTCACAGAAATTCTTATATTTTTTGAGGTCACAATTTCCACAAAGTGGTTAAGTTGCAATCAAAACAACTCTATACTCTCTTGAACTTGAAAATTATTCCCATATATCCTAAATCATGAGTACATGTATTAACGAGTTTATAGTATATCCTCACATTTTTTCAAAAAGTTGCAGATCCAGAGCTCCATATTTGAGCTTTCTCTAAATCAACACTGATTTGCTAATTTTCCTGAATGTTGATCATGAAAATGCATGATATCAATAAATTGACAAATATTGTGGTTCTCGATCAAATGAACAGTGAGTATCAGCTAGGAACGAAAGACATTTGTAAAGTCTTCATATGAATCTGCTGAACTATGATCTCATCACATACATCACTGCTTCATATGGAAACAAGTTGAGCAAAATCAGTAAAACCTAAAATTAACTCACCCACACTCCCTGAAATGGACACTAACTTCTTCTATTTCTCCAAAACACTCAAATCTTTTTCTCAGCTGTCTTTTAGAGTAGTTGTTTGGAATTTTTCCCACATAAATGATTCTTCTGTCTTTCTGTATAGAAAACATAATCATTTGAGTGAGTTTTGAGAACTTAACAAAACTTCACAATTTAAAGTTTTTTTGTTACATAATTTCTCAAGCACTATATCATTAAGATTTTCAACATATAAATGAAAGAAATTTATGACAGTTATAGTTAAAAAAAAAACAGCTAATATAAAATTCATCATATTAATATAAAGAAATCTTGAACTCTTTAAGTTATTTTTTCTGTCTCACCATTTTTTGCGCCCTCTCCTCCTCTCTACGTTTCTGGCGTTCTGCCAGATGTCTCTCATGTGACAAGCTTCGACTTCTACTTCTGTATCCTCTATGTCTACTGTAACTTCTACTCCGACTTCTAGACCTGTCGTATATAATAAAAAAATAAAATGTCAACGTAACAAAAATCAAATGGTCTCACTTTTTTTTCTGATATTTCATAAAAATTCCCATACAATGTATTTTTTCCTCTATCAAAGTAATGGTGATTCTTAAGAAATAATGTAAGTCTGAAAACTTTAAAATGTCCCGATTTCCATTAACTAACCTTAAAATTAAACTCACCTGCTGGAAACAGATGAAGACCTAGATCTGGAGCTGTATGACCTAGATCTTGACCGTGAATATGACCGAGATCTTGAACGAGATGACCTACAATAGGTAAAAATACATATATTATTTATTTTCATTGAGTTTCATTCTTTTGTAATTTTAATGAGCAGTGAGTATCAGTTAGGAACGAAAGACATTTGTAAAGTCTTCACATGAATCTGATGAACTATGATCTCATCACATACTCCACTGTCAGTATTCAGTTATTTGAAAGTCCATAAATTCAATTTCTCCTTTTCATATCAAATAACTATCAAAAATAAATAAGTTAATAAAGGACCGTCAACTGTACCTTGAATATGAAGATCCGTATGACCTAGATCGAGATCTGGATACAATGGAATCATAAGTACCACTTCTCCTCCTCCTTCTTCCTCTCCTGTTACGATCCCTTGACCTTGACCTACTTGAATTTCTACTGGCTGACCTTGAACTTGATCTTTGGCTCATTAAGGGAGATCGGCTCCTACTTGAGTATCCACTGCTTGACTTGCTTTCCAAGGAGACATCATTGTTGTCATACTTGGTACTGTTTGTGAAACAGCTATGATAAGCTGGTAGTCTACTGTAAACTGAGCTGTCTCCCTGAGGCATGGGATTTGGCTCAAAGAAGTCCTGAATAGTAATGCCCCCTCCATTGCTATCTTCTTTTGGAGCGATATTTTCCTTTTTAGATTTGGACTGTTTGACACCATTCAGTGACAAGGCTGTGTAGTAGGACGGGATTTTATCAAAGAATTTATCATCTTCCTTACCAACTGGACTCTCGTCTCTCTTTCTATAGTTCCTGCCACTAAACTTCTGTCCTTTCTGTTGTGAATCACTTGATTTATTTGAGACATTATCCTTAGCAAGGGCAAGATTTTGTTTATTTTTGAAACCATCTGATGTGGAATTTGTCAAGTTTTTATCTTTTTCGTTCTCCACATCATCAAATTCGTCTATAATCTCTCCATCTTCCAAGTCCAGAACATCACCTGGATGACAGTTTAAGTTTGACTGCGTTTTGTTTCTCTCTAATCTGGGGACATTCTGACAGTAGTCATGATCCAAGATGTCTCTGTAGTAATTTTTATTCACAGAAGTTTTCTCTTCAGCCAGAATGTCAGAGGCGGTACATACTGGCTGTTTCTTTGGGGAATACTTTTCCATGGACTCCAGTAAAGATTGACTCACTTCTGCGGACGACTTCTGTAGTATTCGTTGCAGTCTGGGAGTGGTACTGGTAGGCTTTAATGCAATAGCCTGGCCACGCCCCCTTTTTGACGGCATCCCCATTGGCAAAAGGATTACAGACTTTCTTTTATTTAAAGCTTTGATCTTGTACAGTGCATCCTTGCTATTAGATTTCTCTGGGATTATTGACACTGCCAATTTTTCAATGGTTTTTGTTTCACTACAAATACAATTTTTTTCCTTTAAAGTTTAAACCAAATGCATGAATGTCAATTTAATGGCATCAACGTTAAACTTGTTTACTCAAAGCCCATGGGCCACAATGCTCAATTTTTGCCTGCCGTTTTGGATGAAAATTTAATTTCATATTGAGGCCCAAACGTAGCTACAACTGGCTTTATAATAATTGACCTTGAATGCAGTATTTGAATGCTTCAATATTGATATGACTATTTTACTATTTATAATTCTTAAAAGAATTTTAACTTACTTGCTCATTTTGAGATCTTCAAATCCAGATAAAGAATTTGATGCTGAAATGAGGATAAAACATACATAAAAGTTGAACAAACTGGAGAAGATCTGAATAACTGGAAAATAGATTTATAAAATGGTTATGGTTAAAACCTTCTTCAAACTGTTCTAGTAGGCTTCCCACATCAGCAGCTTCTATACCAACTGAATCATTATCTAAAAGAGATAATTAAAAATTTATACAAACATGACTGAGAGACTGAAGAGGAATCAATGCACTATTTTTTTAATAAAAAAAGGACATCAATATAAAAATTATCCTCTGAACATCCATATATACTTACATGGTGTTAGGTCAGGCATATCAAAATTAAGTGGTAATTCTGCCGGGTTAAACTCCTCAAACTCTGCCATTGACACAACAGAGGTTATGTCTGGATCTAGATCCATCTTGAAGGTGAACTGTTGTCAATTATCTAAAAAGACATGGACAGCATATGAATTTTTCAATAAAAATTATCAAAATGCATTTGATTTGAGTTTCTTATCTCTGGGGTCACACTTTGGAATGATTTTGTTTGATGACTGGTTCAACCTATTCTTATCTGACAGAGATTCAGACAGCTTGGACTAATGCTTTCACAGTCAGAATCTCACGATAGTATTTCATAATGGGTACAAGTCAAAACGGCACCTGGTGAAAACGGCACTTAGGAAATATGCAAAACGGCACTTGAGAGTAGTCAAAACGGCACTTTAGAAAAGTCAGAACGGTACTTCTTTTATTTTGAGAATTTGATATTGTTTATACAGAAAATGGATCTTTATATGTTACATTTATAGTAATAAATGTGTATATTATTATTGATAAAAAGTTTAAAAAATATTTTAGGAAAAAAATTAAACTGATTCATTTGAAAATTATTATACTTTTGTACAGGGGTTAGATTTTTAAAATGTATTTATATTTTAAATCATATGTATTTATTTACTACAAAAGAGATCAAATCCCAATTATATTATTATGATCCTTTGAAATTAAAAAATTTATAGTGTTGCAAATATGTATACTACTCTGTTTTGGGGGTTGCCAGTCACAGTTGACTAATTAGAAGCCAGTTAGAGTATGTTTACTAAGAATACACTTGTAGGTTTAGGAAACAAAAGACCATTTCACACCTCCCCTTCAATAATCTGTTGATCATCAATTTGCAATCATATACAGCTACTATTGTGTATTTCTCGACAAAATGTCAAATGGATTGTACACAAGTTAGAAAAACTTTGATAATCCTCTCGCAACTGTACATAAAATATGAGTAGCCAAACAACATTTAATAATATAATAAACATGTACATACAAGAACAAAACATTTGTTCTTTTATAATGAAGATATACAATGTTGATATTGTTAAAATAATTTCTACAGAATTAGATAGAAATGTGAGATAAAGTGACTCTTACTGTAAATATTTTTTTTTTTTAAATCATTTACACCATTTCTTTTTTCATATTATCAGTACTACACTACAAATATAATTATTCTAAATCCCACATATTGTTGTGTTATAGCTTAAAAATACTACCTTTAAAAATAGATTGAAAATAAAGCAAAATTGAAGCCACAAAAAATTCTAAAGTCAATAAATTAAATTTTGACTTAAAAAGAACTTATAATGTGAAATATATATCATAACACTATTATATACTTTTTTCTCTAAGTGCCGTTTTAACCAAGTGCCGTTTTCACTAAGTGCCGTTTTAACCAAGTGCCGTTTTGCATATTCCAGGTGCCGTTTTCACCAGGTGCCATTTTCACTAGGTGCCGTTCTAACCATAATTCTTTCATAATGTATGTCTGGAAATTTACACTAACTCTTCCTGACTGATTTAGCTATTGATATACACCTTGGGGACACTGCTGATCACATCAAAAATGTTCTTTCAAAGCTGCGATGCTTCATCTAAACAGATACAATTTCCAAAATCCAAAACTAAAAAACTTAAATGAAAGCTTCCACGATGTAATCATTTTTTGGATCTCTTTCATATTTAATTTTAATATGGTCTGTTATTTGCACTAAGACTATATACAAAATTTCTATTAAATACACCTAAAAAAGACAAACTATTGGATTTCTTCAAATGGGGGTACATAAATTAGTGTATTCTCTAACAATGAAAATTATATAGATTCCTTGATTTTTAAAAGAATATCATTTATGCATTAGGCCCATATAAGCTGACAAGTGTTTAACTTTAAGGTTCAATTTAAAATTGTCTTTTGTTTCTATAACTATCTTATACTTAGGGCCCTAAATCGTAAAACAATGGACGAGGCCACCACGTGGACCATGAATAAAACTTCTATTCTCCTCATAAACAAATAGACTTAGCATGTTTCCACTTAAAACAATGGGCGAGGCCACCACGTGGACCTCGTGTCACGTTGAGTGGGGCATCTTTTTGACATTTTATAAATGAATTATGATTTATCACAGCATTAAATATTAATATATACCTATAACTACTTCATTTTGGAGTGTTATATTAGAATGACAAGACAATTAAATAACATCATTCCATATTTCTTTCCACGTGGTTGAATGAAAAATACAGTGCTCTGAATGGTTAACGTAACTGACGTCAAATGTACAATTAAACAAATTACCATCAGTAATAATAACTAATTAAAAAGTTACCACATCACGTTATAGATATTTTCTATCTATAATATAGGCCTATGTCATTATTATTCTTCGACTCTTTTCTTTCACCTACTCACCTACCGTTCACACAAGTTCCCGAGAAAATGACGTCAATGATCTCGTGCAGTCTCGCAAATTTCGTGATCTCTCCAGTAGCAACATGGGACGCTAATATATATTCATACGCAAAAACAACAATAGTCCTCAAAATATTTGTCACGCGGATTTGACATATTTCATAGTGTTATTATAAATATTTGCTAAATTCTTGATACATTTTATACCCTAAAAGCTGAAACAATAAAGATCTTTCATTTATTTCTGTTTCTGTTTTATGCAGCGTAATAACATCCGTAGGAGTTCCAAGGCACCAAATTTTAGATATCGAGATGGTATTGAGAATTTTTCGAATTTAGTGCCTTTATTTGTGTTTTTAAATTATTGACAATGACTGATCCCGTTTCTCTAAGCTTACCAGCTTTGTCCTCAACGAACAGTTTAGTACGATATAAAGGAATTCCTAGACGATACGAGGAAACAAGACCAGTCTTTATCCAAGGAAACACTCATCGAAAGATTATAGGTTCAGGATATTGACATTTCTTTACCTTTTTTAAGAAATACTAAGAGACAAACGTTTCTAACTATTTAAAGAGGTATTTTCAGAATGCAGTAAATATTTCGTCCCTGATTTATTTTTGCTCCTTTTGATTTGATTGCAAGCACAGGGGCTTGCTCCCAGCATGTAATCATTTAGCTGCAGATCTGTAGCGTTATGGTTTTATATATTTGTCTTTGACCATAACCCTACAGATCCCGTAGTGCAAAAAAGGTGCAATTTACAGCGCAATATTTTTTGCGCTCTTTTGGGGAGAATCTCTCCACTTTCTAGCATTGGTCAATCAACTACCTTTCACTCCCTAATTCTAGACACATTCTGTAGCCAATATGTATAGTTTATCCACTTCCCAACCATTTATAGTTTTCTCTACAGGCAATAAACTCGCTGGAAGTGAATTTTCAGTAATCTAACAAATAATTTTAATCAAGCGAGTTTATCACTTGTAGAGACGACTATAAAGGGTTGGGAGATGGATAAAATATACAGATTAGTTAAATAATGTGTCTAGAATTAGGGGTTGAAAGGTAGTTGATTGAACGATGCTTCAAAATGGAGAAATTCTCCCCAAAAGAGCGCAAAAAATATTGCGCCGTAAATTGCACCTTTTTTGCACTACGGGATCTGTAGCGTTATGGTCAAAGACAAATATATAAAACCATAACGCTACAGATCTGCAGCTAGTAATCATTATATTTATTTAAAAAATAATATACGGTAATGATAAAACTACACAAGTGAGGACGCTATTTTGGACCCCTTCCTCGCTTCAACTTCTGTTTTCATTATTTTTTCCTTATTTTACTGACTCACCGCCTCGGATCTGTCAAGTAATGATTCTTCTAAGACCCTATGCTTGAATTTTCCCCTTGGGGCCTCTGCAATACACATTTCAGACTCAAAAATAATCCAAACGCGCTCATTAGGACAATTGATTATAATCGACAGAATGCAAAAACACATTCGTAAACCTGGGATTTTTCTACTATTTAAAACATCTGCTTATTATAA